TATTAAACGTGTTGTTTTAAATTTTTTACATCACTGGGTCGATACCTCTGCTGGTGGACTATCAGTCCCCGAGGGTATCATCAGCTCAGTAGTCAGTACTTCGGTACTTACATGATTTATAACAAACTTTTCTAAAATTGTCCGTTTATAAATTTTGAAATTATAAAGAAACTAAGGTTTCAACTCCCTCAGGCAAAGTTGACCTTAGATGAATTTGGCTATTTGTTTAAGGTATTTTTGTTATATAGCTCTTCAACTGTTTCGGTACTTATACATCCCTCGGATTTCAAATGTTTGGCATTGAGCGTTCCTGATGAAGGTAAATCCAGAAAAGCGCTTCGGACGCATGAAATTATTAAACGTGTTGTTTTCAATTTTTTATGTACATGTATCATTTTTATCCATGAATGTGCATGTTGATATTGCACTTTTATGTTTTGCGTAAATAGCAAAACTATGTTTTATTCTGATGTTTTAATATTGTATATTACAGTCTCTCATAGTTCTTTTAAGAATGGCACATGCATTCTATATTTTATATTGTGTATTAAATGTCATATTGTGTTTATACTTGTATGTATGTGGTGAGACTATAATAAACTATTGGCCTTGAACTTCTATCTGTAGAGAAATCTTAAACTATCATAGAATTTAACCCATTAATTACTTCTAACATATTTTGAAGTCTTTCTTAGAATTAAGGTAGCCACCCTCAATTAAATAATCATATAATAGCAAATGTATCTAGAAGTGCAATGATTTACATTATATATTACATCCTTGTTCTGCTACTTATATACAAAAAAATTAAGCTTACAAATTTACAAATATTACATTGTGTTACTGAAAGATAACAGAAAGCACTATCTAAATCACTGATATTCACAATGGCGTGTTGTATTTTTAGCTTGATAATATTTATGGTCATTATACAGTCACGATGAGGACTAAGTATATTAGACTTGTTACTGTTATGAAAGACACTTCACTAAACGTAATAAGAACACAACGAAACGCCACTTTTTAACATTATTTATAGATATTTATTTTCCGAGGAACTTTGGTTTTGTTAGTATAACTGTTAACTGCAGAGCTTTGGTGTCTGAGTTTTGATTATTTACAATTTGTCTAGACTCTAGACCATGACTTATGGTATGGGTACCTAACTGTTGTTGATTAACGCATGCTGGTGTCTTGTTAAATGTGTTTTTCGACTGACATTTACTCCTCAGCTCTATATATACTAATATATATGGATAACGATCAAAGTCACATTAAACGAAACATATATATATATACTCGACAAACCTTTCGTTTTTTATTTCCGTTCGATTTAACTAATAGGCTTTTTAGTTTAATTATAAATATTTATTGAAATGTCAATCCATGTGAAATCTTCAATTAAAACTATGAAATTTGAAAGGAAAGGAATATCTGAATTATATCCTAATAGTATTTGAGATTTACTAAGATTTTTAACGAGTTTATGTATTCCATCATTTGATCTTTTCAAACACCAAATCGATAAACTTAAATCAAGTGACTTCAATCCGATCTATCTTTCTTCCGCAGTTTTATGAGACAAACAGTCCAGATAATATGTCATAATCATTCTGTACGTATGATTTGCATTTTATTGAATTTAATGAAATGCTTGATTTAAATGTAAAGATTTTTGTAAGATGAATGGATTATTCAAAGGGAGATGCAGGTTGTATACGTCAATCCGACAGCAATCCAACGACACAAATTACCAAGAGACATCTAGAGTTTAACATACAGTCTCCAACTATAGATAGATGTCAATAAAAAAAAATACCAAGCCCTAATTGCCCCCGAGTCTAGTGACTTTTTTAAACAAAAACTATCAAAGTTGATCTGTAATGAACATGAAATTCTCAAAATAACAAAACACATTAAGATATTACATAAGATAACTACAGAAAAGGTTCCCGATAGTAACATGAACATATGGACGGGATAAACTAGTTTGTTTTAGATCTCAAAAATCCCAAATAAAACATAAATACAGGAAAAGCGCTAAGATAACGGTATAAGAGATCGTTAATTGTATTTCATGTAAGATTTCACGCAACAACGACATAACGCAACAACGACATAATCAGAGAAGTAAGACACAATCTTGTGCAATGTCCAGACCAAGCTGTTCAAAATTTCAATCCAGAAAACACAAATGAAAAATGTAACATAAATAAGGAGATGCAGTATGATTGCAAATGAGAGAACTATTCACCACAGACCAATGGATGTAGATGTCAGCAACTATGGTCGTTTCTTCATATTTCATTGTTCAAAAGGACAAATGGATCAGACATAAGTTTTGCAACTTCGCAACGTCTAATCAACGTATATATTTGAAGTCAGATACGAAAGTACTGACAAAATGTAAAGGGAGGGCCAAATCCCTCCTTATTCATTTCATACATTTTCAATTAGACTTTCAATACTACATGCGTATGATTTTAGATTAATTGTAACAACTCTCTGTCGTATTTCTAAATTAAACATATAACCAAATTATAAGTATTTTAAAATAGCTAAAAACTGCAAATTTGAATTTTTTTTTCCAAATTTAGAATATTTATCAAAAAATAAAATAAGGATATTCTAGGCAAAATCAAACTTATATTCGAATGTAATCTATGGATTGTCTCTAAGATACAAATACAGATAATAAGATGATTGTTATTTCTGTATGACGTTGAGTTATTAAAAAATAACAAAAATGGTAGTTTTAAGGGTATGATGTCGTAATAAATGTAATTATGAAAGGTCACTTTTGAGCGTTTTCTTGAAGATAAATCGATTTCGGTCAACTTTCGAATGCTTTTTTTTTAGACTCGCGAATATATTGAATGACATTGTATTCAAGATTGCACATACCGTTAAACTATCATAACGCTTATTTCATACGAGTTTGTTATATTTCATTTCTAGAAGGCTATTTCATTGTAACGTAATTTCTCCTTTTAAAATTGGCGCAATTCCTTATCTACTTTTTGTTTTAAAGTTGCGGAATCACGTATGATGGTAGTAGATCAAGTTCTTAAAGTTCCCAAGGCATCCTCCACCCAATAGTGAAATGACTAGGATTTATTACGTACATTTTGATCATTTTTATGCTGATACATTCTTTTATTTTACAAGGTTGCAACTCCTCCAATCCTAGTCTACCTAACCTAATGTTATAGTTATTTTCTGGACCCTTTGGTTGTATAGTTCTACATTTATTTAGATTTTGAGTTTGTTTCGTGTGATATTCTCCGTAAAACCGTTATTCTCAATTTCAAAAATGGACAAATAATGAGGGATAAGAGTACATTAGAAGTGTAGGTATAAATATCGATTCCGACAGCAGAATTTAATTTGAAAGTAGATTTCACAAACTTATATTCGATGGCCAATTCAACCTTATATCTTATATGTACCCCTGATAATATCATTCCTGAAAACAAAGGTTCTCTCGTTGGTACAATATATTTGAATGAGCATTTGCAACGATTTCTCCATGCATTTTCATATACAAAAAGAAACCAGCTGGTTTAAATTTTATATATTTTGCATATAATCCATGTACATTTAAATATGAAATTCTGTCAATTCCAAAATGTAACTTGTACGACGTGAATGCTGTGAATACTTTTAATGCCAATAACTCGGTCGTACTGAATATGCATGACATATTTGTCATTAGACTTTTTAAGCGTTTAACGTATATGTGTTCCGCTGAACAGTAGTTCCTCTGGTAACTTTGTTATAGACAATGCTATCTATCTGTTCCGGTTCGAAAAAATATTATATACCCTTTATCCGTTAAGAACAACTATTGTAATACATTTTTTTTTCAGAGCAACTTGGGTTTGTATATTTATAACTTTTTCTGTACACATAAATGTTGACTACAATGGGATAAAATCTGCATTACTGATGTCTCTGTTTTGAAAAAAAATATAAGTATCAAATCGGAAATATAATATTTTGATAAAATAAACAGTTTAAATCTGCTTTACCATCTTGTATAAATTAAGGTTTGTTGTAAACCAAGGACTAATTCTACATAAGTGATGCGTTCTCTGTCCTGTGACAATCCTAACCAGGATGGCTACAAGTCTAAGCTTTGAAAATTAAAGATCAATAAATACGCAAAGAAATATCAAACTGGAACCCTTCTATGAAATTAACCAAAAACTATCAAAAGCGCTCACTACTCGTATTTATGTAATAATAACCTTCCCACGATTCGCTTTGAAATTTTGGAAAGAGAAAAATGTATAAAGTAGGAAAAAATAAATTCGCGTTTGCACCAAGTCAGGAATTTTGAGGTTTTTTTTCATTTGTTACGTTGGTTGAAATAGTCGAGCCTTTGGTTTGTTAGGTTTTATGGAGTTCCACGTTTTTAAATTTACCTAAGAGTTTGGTATTTTTGTAAACTTATGTTTTTTTTTTATATATTCAACAAAATCAATCCAAAATTAGGAAAAATTAAATAAGTTTTTAAAATAATATCTCTAAACATTTGTGGAACTTTATTACATGTCAAAGTGCCTGACCCAAGTCAAAAACTTGATCAGTAAGTTTCCCTAATACTAGTAAATAAAAATTGAGAATGGAAACGGGGAATGTGTCAAAGAGACAACAACCCGACAAAAGAGCAGAAAACAGCCCAAGGCCACCAATGGGTCTTCAACACAGCCAGAAAATCCCGCACCCGGAGGCGGGCTTTAGCTGGCCCCTAAAGAAATGTGTACAAGTTCAGCGAAAATGCATGTATATACATGGTTTGGTCTCGTGCGAATTTGGTGTTCATGACAAATAATCTCCACAAATTCTCTAAGACTTGTGCCAATTCAGATTTTGACATAGAGCATAGACTCTTTGTCTATTTTTTGGGATTGTATTATATTTCGTTAGGTTGCTGTCTCGTGGACCAATACCCAAAGCTTATGTTTCCACATTAAAACAAAATAACGTTAACTTACCTGTATATCTTCAAAGTTGGTGAAGAGAGATCCCTGTGATGGCATGGTTGACGCCCTCTTGTGTTCCGCTGTCCCTCCACTGTAGTCGACGCCCCTGGACGGAGAATTATAAGGAGAATTATAAACTATACATGGTAACAGTTTATTAGACATATTTGACATGTCGACAGTTCGTCCACCTGAAGAATTGTTCCAATCAACAAAAAACATATAAAAATGTTTTATAATTACGCGCATGAATTTTGTGTTCTCACATTGTTTAAAGAATAGATAGCCATTAATCTAATAAAGAAAGAAATTAAAGCCACCAGCAATACCATCATGTCAAATAGCTGTTTATATAATAGGTTTTGTAATGCTTCGTAAAAAGTTTATATTTAACTTAACACTTCCATGTGATCACAGCAATATTTATTAGATGATTCCAAATTAAGTAGTATTTGTTTCTCAGTAAAATTAACCAACTAAAACACAATTATCGAAAAGCACAGGCGAAACTGTATGGCGCCCATGTTTCATATTTTGATAACCAATATCATTTGAGAAGAGTGCGATCTTATCGGAAATTACATTTTATATTGGTACTGCCTTTCCTAATATTTGTGCGATAGATAGCCAGTTATTGACATACATCAAACTCTCTGGCCAGCGAGCCACACGATCAAACGTGGCGTTAAGAATTTGTAAGTTGAATACCTCTCACTTGATGAGAACGTCATTGTTTGGCCGTTAATCTCGTGGAATCTCACGTAATAATCAGACCAGTGTCATATCTCCCGTGCTAATAACAGTCTGTGGTCATTAAATAAATATCCATTAGATCCTAACATTACCAATGCACTGTCAATGTTCTCTCTTTTAATTTCTTTTCGATCTGACGATTTATTACAACACTAAACTTCACATTTCAAACAGCATTCTGTCACTGTTTCTATTTCCCTTTCGAATCTTATAGAATTATGCTTTTCAAATTTGGAAGTTGATAAATTTCTTCGTAAATTATCAATAATTTAATCAAGTTAGGTTTATTTTAATATCTTTTTCAGCCTTGGATATTTCGTACTGTGCTAATTTATATTTATTAACTCTGTTCATTCAGTTAAATTTTACAAGTTTTTGATTAAAATCACCATGCCAAATGAATGACTTTGAAAAGCTGCATATAGACGAATGTTTCGCATGTAATGTAATAGCAGCAATCAGTGTAGAGCAAATATAACGATATAACACTTATATGAATTCAAACTGACATGCTATATACTTGATGGATATCATTTATTTTCTCCAACTGAGGAGTATAGTAGAATAATGTAATTGTTTTATTTTCCATTTATACTGACCAATTATTTCATTGAAAGAAAGTTAAATAGTGATCATGACCTAATGTTATGTCAAGGCATCATGCAAAAGTTCTAAAACTCGAAGTCTTCCCAATAACAAATAAAACAATACAAATGTTTTATTGAAATCAGTTTGTCTTTGGAAAGAAACAGGCAAATGCTAATTAATTAAATGAACATATTTGAATAGAGGAAGCTGTTTGGAATACGTCAAAGCAACCCAAGAAAAAAAAAACAACACAATTATTATATAAGATTTGTTTATGTCATAACATCTTGATACGTTGCATCGTAAGATAAAAAATGGCCTGGTATTTTTTTCTTCAAGATATGAATATATTGCTTATGACGGCTGTGACTGTTTATAGATATTACTTAACTTAATAACTACTGTATATTGAAAAATATAATTTTATTATATCTATTCCAATTAAACTCTTTCAATTTGATTCTAAAGCATAAACATATTTTGATGTTTGCAACACGTTGTTTCTAGGATGATAGTAACCATGCCACCACTGTCCAAGGTTAAGGATGAAGGTTAAACGCCCGTAAACATGTTTATCCCCGCCACATTATGTGCTTATCCTGCCAAGTCAGAAGCCTGTAATTCAGTGGTTGTTGTTTGTTGTTGTATATCATATTTGTTTTTGTTTATTGTTTTGTACATAAATCAGGCCGTTGGTTTTCTCGTTTGAATTTTTTTTAAAGATTTTTTCATGGCGGGGCCTTTTAAACACAGCTTGCTATGCTTATGTGTTTGCTCATTGATGAAGGTTGTGCGATTCATGCTAAAAACAAAAATGACAGACAGCCATCAACGGAAATCATCAAATAATAGTCTCCTGACTTGGGAAAGACACATAAAGAAAGTGGAGGGGTTAAACATGTTTCTTAGGTCTCAAACCAAGCAAGATTGGAGCTATCAAACAAATGTATATGACATCTGCACGAATGAGAACTTTATTAGATTTATTCGGAATTCTACTTTGTAGTATGCTTCGAGCTTAGACATTCTATTTCGAGAACCTATGTATGTTTTTTTTAAGTAAATCAGAGTATTTCGCCTTTTTCGCTTGGGGTTCCATGAACGTTAATAAACTGCACAAATGAGATAATCTTTAATTCATTACAGATTTTTTGGATCTCCTATCACGGAGTATTCTTGGAGCTTCCTTAGAGACAAATGCATGTGTCTTATGAATAAAGAATCTCATATTTTTCTTATATTTTTATGTATGAATAGTTGCCTTCTATGTTGATTTCACATATACCACAAACACAGTTTTATTATAAAATAAAGACTGAGGAAGTATCAGCCTTTCGTTTTCTTTATTAACGCGTCCTCAATAGTTCATATAACTAGTCAATATATGCTTTGTGAAAAGCATTTTTCAGATGTAAGCAAAAAAGTTAAATGACGTTTATATACCCGTCCGTCCTCTTAGTATTGCTAATGATAGTCCTGGATTACCAAAGTCACATATTTCCCGAATGCCAATGTCACAGCTGCTTATCGCAGTAATCATTTTTAGATGTTTAACTTTTTAGATTTAATATGGCTTAATTAATAAGGAAGACGGTGTTCTTTTATTGATTTATAATTATACAGAACAAAATTTGTTTGATATCTGATTCAGGATTGTGGCATACTAAGTTGGTATTGATGCCTTTTTGTTTATATAAGATCATATAAAGGCTAAGAAAACAGTGATGTATTCAACACCATTAAAGATGTATCGTTAATCCATTAATTCATTTGACATATTTGATTGCTATGTTTTTAGACATTATATATTATTGTTGTTCATTAATTTAGAAGTTATTTATGGTCGATATTCCAAACTGCACTCATGCAGCATTTAGCCAAGTACTCAGTATGAATCGTAGACTAATTTCGTTAGTCGAAACTGCATATTGATATAGATTTCAACACTACATATTGATAAAGATTTCAACACTGCATGTTTTTCGCGTATCTTTTATAATAATTATTTACCATATAAATTTGATATAGGGTAACATCGGAGATTAAAATTAAAGTTATGTGAAAGTGTGTAGGACTAATAGATAAATAGAGATCCTTTTGTAGGAACTGATTCAGATTAGTACTTATATTATTCTCTATAATTTTTGGAAAAAATCTCCTTTTTAAAATATTGTGAAGTAACTGTTATTTTTGATTAATTGATTTTACTTTTGTTTGAAAAAGGACAAAACTCAGGAGTTTCGTATGCTATCTATTATCGTAAACTACTCTGACGTCATAGCAATGGAAAATGATGTCTGATAAAAATCGATCTCCAAATGTCAATGAATTATCTAAAAACCCAACATTGAATTTATAATATATATATACAGATAGTTTAAAAAAAAATAGAACGACGTTTTTCATCCAAAGAAGCATCAAATGACAAGACAATAAATACGTTTTATAAAATCCAAATTTTTCTAAAGACAAAATGACATACCAATCTTTATGTCACAAATAAATCCAATATAACTGTAGTAATCTTAAGTAGAAATCAAAAACTGTACGTCTATTTTTGCCACAAACAACACAGGGAAACTTTAAGAACAATACAAGATAAAAGATAAGATTCAATGTTTATTATTGCTTCCAGTGACAGTGTCCCAGTTTGGTTAGTAAGGGTAAAGGAATATATGGCCCCCTGAGAGCTCCTGCATTTAAAAGCATGGTTTGGTACTTAGACCTAACTTTAAGTAACCTTAGCTTTCTTTGATAAGGTATCCTTTCTATAGTCGTACGTGCTTATGTTTTTGTTGTCTATTGCATTGATTCAATAGAGTTAAGTGCTTACATACGAAATGAACACAAATGATCTTCACGTTTTGCATGAAGCACGGAAGCGCTTGTTAAAAATGTGATAGACACTTGTGTTGTAGAAATACAGAATTCGATTCTTACATTGACAAATTTTCAAAATGAAAAATATAATATTAACATTTGAATCAGAAATTTAAACTTTCAACACAAAACTTCGGCATAAATTGTGAAAAACGAATAAAGCAACTTATCATTCAACTTAAAATCAATTATTCGTCATATGATTGGCAGAATGAAGATTTCAAAGTAGATAGCTTGGAAAATATTAATTAAGTTTCAAACATTATCATATACGTATTAATATCATAGAATAATAATTCATTATTACATATTTATATCAATTATTCACATTTCCACTTGAACATGCATTGTCAACTTCTTTTTCAATATTAATCGAACTTGAATTTTTATTGAAAGCAAAACATTCTACACGTTGTACAGAACAATGCATAAAAAAGAGTGTTTGTTAATTAGTTGGACGGAGCTAATAATCTTGGGTATTTTTCATGCGGCATTGGTTGTTTTCGTACAAATTGAAAACATATGACGGAATCAAGCGATTCGTCTTTCAGCCAATAAAATATCAGTATTTGTATGAATCGAACAACTACTGAAATTTACCATAATAAAAGTACAAAAAGAAGTATTACATTTTTAAGGCAAAGCATGCGTGATTAGGGCGATATTCGGATTTTTTGAAATACTGTATGCTTTTAGACTGCAGCTGAGTATCGAAAAATAATGTAACATTTATACTTCCAGAGATAAATCAATCAAACCATGAGTGAAATAAAGATAGAAATTAGTAGAATGCACGTCAAAAGTGCCATAAAAGGGACTTGTTTTCAGATTGAATATCATTTTATCGTCATTTTACAAAATTTTGTTTAAAAAAATTTTTTATTGACTGCATTTCTGTTAAAACGATAGGAAAATTGTAAGGGGATATCGGCTTCGTTTTTTTT